TGTCTGTTAATTATGCTAAAATGAGTGGAGTTTTAGAGGACACAATCCAGGTTTGTTTCATAATCAGTCAGTACAGGCCTTCCACAAGTACACTAATATAGATCCATCTTCTGGGCAGGGAGAGGTATTCATGGGACAGCATTTTATCTGTTGGTCAGCACCAGATAGACCATAAGCTACAAAAACTTCACATGGGGCCATAGATACTTAGAGCCCAATTGCTGGACATGGCCTTTTCTGTGCTCAAAATCAGGACCCAGAGGAGAGAAAAGAGAAAGGCTGAGATTATAGCTATTCCAGCTGGTCCCGTTTTAAACCCACCTAGATCATCTAAGGAAAAACCCAGAGGCGACCTAGTAAGTGGTCCCTGTTTCAAATGCAAGGAACTGGAAACAGGGCGTGAAACTGCCTGGACCCTGTTCTAAATGTGAGGCAGCTAAGGCCCCTCACTGGAGGTTTGACTGCTCCTGCTCCCAGAGAGAGGTTAAGCCAGCCAGAGCCCTTCAATTCTGTTCTGATGACTGCTGGTTTCCAAGCGAACCTGCAATGTCTCTCTGTCCATGTACATCACCATCTCCTCTGAGGAAATCTGGGTAAGCCTGAATGTCATGGGTAATCAACTGCTTATAAATTCAACTGCTTATAAATATGGGGGGGGCTCATTCTGTTTTGTGTTCTCTAAAAATCTCTCCTCTGAAGCTAGAGCCATTGTTGATGTCAAGGGGACCCCTAATCAGACACTCTTTATTTCTCTTTTGTCCAAAAGTTAGCCACTGTTGTGGACAAGCAGTCTCTGCCATCCCTGCAGGCAGACGGCATCAGCGACCTGATCTAAGAAGAGCTATGGTTTCCGGATGCAAGTAGCTTTGTCAATCATTTATAAAAAAAACAGGAAATTCTGCCACTCCTAGAGGCAGTCCATCTTCCCAGAAGGACACCACAGAGGCATGTGCATAATCTCCTTGAAAAATCAAAAGGCTGATAGGCAAAAAGGGAAGCTCTAAAGCCCCCTAAGACTCTAGCTTTATTCCAAGTTCTTGAGGAACAATTAAAAACTTTATGCATCCCACAAGACTATCAATATCCACTTAGGAGGATAAATGGGCCTTTGGACAGGGACGAATTAAAGAGGCTCTCGTGGTATTCAGGAAACAAATCCGTCCTTCCTCAAGGGATACAATGGAAGGCCACAAAAGCACTTTATGATTCCTTCTATATTGGCAGAGATGCTACACTGGGAATGATCACTTGAGTGGTTTTTATTTAATTCAGTGTTTTAATTTTTACTTGTTTTGTGGCCTAATATACTCAATTCTAGAGAATATTCCATGAACACTTTAGAAAAATGTGAACTCTCCTGTTGTTGGGTGGAGTGTTTTATAAGGGTTGTTAGGCATAATTGGTTTATGGTATTGCTCAGACCCTCTATTTCTTTGTGCATCTTCTGACTACTTGTTCATCCATTGTTGAAGTCTCCAACTACTATTGTAGAACTCTATGTTTCTCCGTTTAAAGTGTGAATTTGTCGTATTGACTTCGAGGAGCTTGTTTGATGCTTCTATTTAGAATTTTTATTTCTTGAACGATTGACCTACTTATCACTTTTTAAGATCCTTCTTGGTCTCTTGTTACAATTTTTGACTTCAATTGTTTTGTCTGATGTAACGACAGCCACTCATGGCACTTGTGGTTGCAGTTGGTAGGGATTACCTGTTTTTATTTTACTTTCAGTCTAGTTGTGATTTTAAACCTAAAGTGACTCTCTTGTACAGTGCATGCAGTTGAACTGCATTTTAAAAAACCTTTCTCAATCTTCGGCAAACAACTTTATTGCAATATAATTCACATACCATGCAATATATTGTAAGTGTATGACTCAATGGCTTTTAGTATATTAAATTACAGATTTTCCTCATCTAATGACCTGTTTAACGACCTAACTGTTTAATGACTGCTCAGACTTTAACACTAAGGCTGGGTTTGACTTACTACCTGCCCCTTGGACTTAAAACTTGTCTTTTTTCTGCACATCTTGCTTATGGAACCTCAATGTGTTTTTTGTACAACACACCTCCTAATGTAGCTTTTGCTGATTATACTGAATAGTATACTGGTGAGGTTTCATGTTCTGTTATACATTATAGTACTGCGTGTGAGTTTGCAAAGAAAAACGAAGTCCTCAAATATTAAGAGCAGCAGGAAGTTAGGAAATGGGTCAAATGAGTGTAGGTGGGACTGGGCCTCAGTGCCTAAAGTAAACAAGCTACCTCACTCCTGAGATAAACATCCTGTCTGGTTAAGGTCAGCTATTAGTCACTAGGCAACCTTGTGTCAGGTGTTACAAACACTGCAAAAGCATAAATAAAGGATCCTTTTGCAGTCTTGCCCATCAGGCAGACCAGCAACCACCTAGCCCAGCTTTTGTCTTCTTCTGTGTCTTTCTCATTCCTGCCACCACTTCTCCCTGGACAGAATTGATTGTAGTGAGACCAACAGATCTCTACAGTCAAATTGGAGCTTCCTTTAGCCATTTCTTTGTCCTGACTGCTGTAAAGGGTGTACTAGATATAAGTCCTCATGCAGCAATCTATTCATTTAGCAACATAGTCACAGGAACAAGACTTGCTTATTAAATGAATAATATATTAACTTTTAAAAATTATAGTCAAATAAATATAACATTTGGCATTTTAAACAATTTTTTTGTATTTAGTACAGGGTCTACAGTCTCACTACACAGATCAGACTCGAAGTGATTCTCCTGTTTACAGCCTCCCAAGCTCTGGGATTACAGGCATGCTATTGAACACTTTTAGGGAATTTTCCATGTCAGTTATTTTACTTTTTAACTTCAAAGCATTCTGTTTATATATTGTTCTAGTTTTATTCTTTATTCAAACAATGTGCTGGTTACACTTATTTCTTTGATCATATTTAAGATAGTTGATTTAAAGTAGTCATTATGTCCACTTCCTCTGCCTCCTGAGTGACAGTTTGTTGCCCCATGCCCTCACTATTGGCCTACACCCTGTTTCTTTGCATGTTTTCCAAGTTTTATCGAAAACTGGAAGACTCCAATATCCTATGATGACTAGAAAATCTGAATTCTGCTAGGATGCAATGTTATCACTTGCTGTGGGTTATAGAGGTTTGTTGATTAACTCTTCTAAACCATTTTGGTAAGGCCTGTTTTTTTTTATCATGCATAGTCTGTTGCCTTAACTTAGAGGTCAGTTAGTGATTCACGATAGATTTCCTCAAATTCCTGGAGTAAAAAGAAAAAAATACTCTCCAGATCTTAGCAAAGTGGCACCTTGGTCTTAATCACTGACTGATCTCAGGAAGTGTGGACTACCAGTGATGAGTACCAAACCAACTGTATTGGCTAGAAAGGGTAGCAATCATGAGGCAATGGACATGGACAAGTTCTAATTTATGTCCAAATGCATCAAGTACCAAACTGGATGAGTTTTAAAGTAGTCAAGTAGCAAGGTGTGACTTTAAATTGGCTGTATGCTGGGACACTGCTTTGATATTTAAGCAGGCTGTTTACAACTTGCCTTAGCTTTTCATTTTCTGTTTATGCTGAGTCTAAGGATTACAGCCCTAAAATGTTAATACGGTGTTCTCAGGTCTTTTAGGAGTCCTGCTTTGGGCATGCATATGATTTTCGAGACACCCAGCTATACATGGCAGAATATTAAAGTTCTTACTCTCCCAAATACCTTATTCCCCAGAATTTCCTCCCAAATTTTTGCTTATCTATTGATTTCCCCTGGCAGTAGCTTGTTCATTTGCCTTGGCACATTGTTGAGGAATATCCTATACTTAGCTGTTTCTTCACCCTGAGAGAATTCAAAGTTACATCAAACACAGACAGTTAATCCCTTTTTGCCAGGCTAGGGAGCTCCCAGACAGGTTGAAACAAAGGCAACTGCTTGGAAATAAAGGCTGTTCTCCTCACTTCAGAATAGGATCCCATGCTGGGCAGCGCAGGTTGCCATCCTCCAGTCCACTGGCATGCCTCAGAGCATGGGAGGCAAGGGTAAATTTAAATACCACAGAACTCTTTCACTGGGTTTCGATAATTCTTCTCAGGATTCAGCATTAACTTGGTAGCTTTAAACATTAGACTCTGTTTCAGAGTTCCAATGACTTTGACTCTGAGGGGCTGGGGAGATGGCTCAGTGGAAAAAGTGCTTGCCTGGCAAGCACAGGGGCCTGAGTTCAATCCCTGGTTCTGCCAAAAAAAAAAAAAGAGAGAGAGAGAAGGGTGACTCTGACAGTTTTTCCCTTTCAGTGGTTTTTGGGAGGGATTTAACCTCATTGTATCCTTTCACTAACATAAGTCAGTCCTGTAAGTGATGTTTATAATTTAAATCTATATATTTACATCTTCATTTGTTTAATAGTGTGAACTTTTTTCTGAAAGGAACAGAATAACAAACCACAGGAAACGTACAACTAGAAACTTCTCTATCATTAATGAATTTGTGAAAAAATCAATAAAATGATTTATTTCATAAGCAAAGTCAAATTTTCTTTGAACACTTACATTTTTACAAATACAAACATAGTAATACTGCTCCATAGAAACTTTTGTATAAACATTAAAGGAAATATACACTTTTTTCTTTTAGTGCTTCCAAAGCACAGAATGTACAAGTCCACCTGAAGACTTTTTGCCACATGCAAGAACAAAATGGCCAGGGTTAGGGCAGCCTCAGATGTACTTTGTAATGTCTCTAGACAAAATAGAAGAGAGTTGGAGGTAGATTGTTTGGTGACTCTCCCTGGCCCTTCCCAAAGAAAAATAAGTTACTCAATAGCAGCTTCTTATTCTGATTCAAACTATCCTGAATATTGCATGGTTTAGAAGGCACAAGTAGGGCTTACTGAAAACTGTTCAGCACACATAAGATGGCCACTTTGATTTGTATGCTTATGCTTTGTAAAGGATGTGGTTAAGTAGTGCTCCACTTGCTGGTGCCCCCTTTTCACTCTGAAAATGCTTTAAATGGCAAAGTTGAAATGAATAAATCCTTATTACTCATTGGTAGGGGCAGCGGTGTTTTACGAACTTAGTACACCCAAAAGCACCACCTTCCTCACTGGGAAAAGAAACAACAAAGCAAAATTGGATACTTTCAGCCAAAACTCCTAACACAAAAAACCCCCAATTTTACTCAAAGAAAATCAAAATGTTCCATCATTGTTTCAGACTATGGAGAATGATTCCCTTGACTCAAAATATTTTAGGGGCCTTCAACAATATCGTGCTCCATTCTACAACAAAGAAAACTTGTCGTTTTTTCTCGTGGGTCTTTGCATTAACATGATGATCTGCTGTTTATGTGATTAACGTTGTTGAGAAGGTAATAAGAATCAATTTTTTCTAGTACTTTCTCCAGGTATTGAATTAAGACTCGTCTTTTAAACCTGAAAACAAAGAGAAAATTTTTTAACCCAAGATACTGATAGCACTTGTGACATACAAGGCACACTGTGTGGGATAAAAAATCAAGCTTACTATCTACATGGAAATACTGGTTTAACAAATACTGATAGTGCCAACTGCTAACCTAAGATCACATTGGTCTGATTTGTCTACAAGGATGAATAATCTGGACTCAGATAATTATCTATCCATCTAAACATCTCTGGAGAGGGGGCCTAATCTATGATCGAAGACCAGAGTTTGAGAAAATCAAGACAGGCTGATTCCTTTCTTTGTCTTGCATTGGTGCCCAACTGCTCGAACAAAACCAAGCCCGAAGGATTCCTGTTTATACCCACCTCGCAGCTTCTTTGATGGTAAATTCAACAAACTGTTTCTTCATCTCCAGAGGTCCTTGAACTTCTTCAAGCAAACTGAAGATCCTTTCATACTCTAAAGATATTAAAATGACCACAGTATTTGAAATAAAACTGGAAAATCAAATCAGTATACATCCTCAATAATTATTCATGGCCAGAAAGATAGATACAGTTGGTATTTTGAACATTCAAAATGCCTGCGTGTATCTACTAAGGAAACTGGTAAACACTCAATGTGGGAGGCTCAATAATGGCTGTTTGAAGTTGTCCTTATTTCTGGAGCCTGCATATAATTACCTTATATATCCAAATTGCAGATACATTTGGACTAAGGATGGTTAGATGAGGAGATTAACTAGGTTTGTGCATGTTGAGTCCAAGTATCAATATAAGACAGAACAGTAAAAGTCAGTGAGAAAAGACATAAGCAAACGAGTAGAAGTCAGAAAGCAGAAAAAGTACTAATGTTGCATACTTGAAGATAAAGGAAGGGCCGGCCAAATAGCTTAGCGGATTAAAGTGCCTACAAGCAGGCACAGGGGCCAGGGGTCCGATCCCCGGGCCTGTCGTGCAGCCCTGCCCCCTGGGGCACATTGAGATGGCAATTGAGACTGGGCCTGGTGGCATGCACCTGGAATCCCAGTTCTTGGGAGGCTGTAAACAGGAGGATCTACGAGTCCGATCTAAGTAGTGAGACCTTGTAGACCCTGTAGACTCTTCCCTAAAAATACAAAAAAAAAAAAAAGATAAAGGAAAGGACCACACGCCAAAAGGGTACCCTTTAAAAAAATGCAAGGAAAAAGATTCTCCCTGAAGCCCCTGGAAAGAAGCCACCAGCACCTTCATTTTAGCCCAGTGAAAAGTATCTTCAGAATTCTAACTTCTGAAATCTGATAATAAATTTGTGTTGTTTTAAATTACTAATTCTGAGATTTACTACAGCAGTTAGAAGGAAACTACAAGAAGCAAGAGGTAAAGTTGACTGTGTCTTTTTTGTTAAAGCTGGAGGAATTACTTTAAATTATATAAAATCGAATATTGCCCAAATATGCATCTGAAGAGGTAGCTTGAATCTATTCTAAACCACGGGATGAGAAACCTCCCACTATATTTTTGATAGATGTTCCTCCACTCTACTTACTCCGTCCAAATTTTCGAACTTCCTTCATTAATTGATGTTTTATGTCAGCATTGATTCCATGTGCCATTGCAGGGGTGATTTGCAATGCATTTGGCATAGTTTCCACAGTAGATGGTATTGCAATATTTGGGTCGTCTACCGACAGACTGCAGTTTTGTATTCCTCCTATAAGTACATTATTACCAGTTTTGTGAATCAGTTCATCTTTCCTGAGGCCAGTACAGTCATCTGACAGAGAGTCCAACTGATTGGCTGGAAGGCCCCCTTCTGCCACATTCACACGCTCTTCTGGGGCAGGTTTCAACAAGAAGCCATCAGGCGGGGCCTGCCCATTTTCCATCTTCTCCTCATGAACATCATGGATGACAGCAGCATCTGGAAAGCAAATTAAGAAGTTGAGCTGTGACCTAAGTACATTATTCAACCTCATAAGCATGTACTTTTGCAAAAAGGTACTTATTTGATGAAGCAGGATGTACCAGGTACAAATCTGAGACTCCTCAAATTGAACTAAAGAACTTCCTGAAACAAGAACAGCTTATACCCTCTTGCTACTAAAAAAAATACAGAAACCAAGACAGCACAACTAATAAACACAGGTGCTTGGAGATCATGGTTTAGCATCAGCCTGTAATGCTTTATAAGGTGAAGAGCAATGAACCTTGCTTAATGTCATCTCAGTCACAAAAATGGCCATCCTCCACTGAGCTTGAAGGCAGACAGCTTGTGTATCCCACATTCTGCCTCTTGTCTCAATAGCAAACACTCTGAGAAAACAGAGGTACTCAATGGGCCTCAACATTCTACTTCTAATCCGTCTGTGTGATTCTCCGATCCTTTCCTTCTATGTGGAAGTAGAACTTCTTTTATGCCCAATCTGTTACCTCTCTTCACTTATACATTGTCTACTGTGTCAGGATCTGGGAATCAGCACTGAGCAAGACAGAACTTGTCCCTGTCCTTCAGGAATGCACTTTTCCATGGTTAAAGAGTCAGGGATATAAGAGGAAGCCAGAGGGCCCCTCCAGGTCCTCGGGAGGGTGGCGGGGTCTTTTGGAAGGTGTCTCCTGAGTAGAGCCTCAGGAGGAGATGGAGCAGCCCGTGCAGACAGAGAGAGGGTGTAGGCTATGATAATAGCATGAGGTGGAGCCAGGAGCAGCTGAACCAGGGGCCGCAGGGTGATGGGCAGATGCAAAGAGAGCAAGGAAGCAGGACCTGGTGAGGAGAGTGTGGCAGAGTCAGGCCAGGCTGAGCCTGAGGCCCACAGTCACAAGTTCAGGTTGAGTTCTGGATGCTGAGGGATGTGAAGGCCAATTTTTAGGACAGACATACCTGACCTCATTTCCACATAATCTCTGGCTGTAGGGAAATGAATGGCTTGGCAACAAGAACAGGATTTGGGGAGATGAGAAAAGAAGCTATCATAGTAGCTGAGTGAGAGATCATGACCGTGAGGAATCAGGGATTGAGAGAAATGGTGGGATACAGAGACTATATTGAACATTAAGCTTCCTGGACTCACTAAATGGATGTATGTGACAGAAGACTAAAAGAAAATCCATGGATAAGTCCAAGGTTCATCATCTGAACCAGTGGGTAAGTGACAGCTACACCACAGGTATGCAGGAACCAGCAGATGATTACCCTAGAGTAGACTGTGTCTAATTCTTCCTGACTCTGATTCAGTAACTTCAGGTACATGGCTTGGCATTGGTAATATCAGCATTACTTATACCAGAGAAATATGTCAACACCACAGTCCAGGGTTTGTTTACCCTCCCAATAATATCCCGCAGGGCTGGAAACTATTAACATCCCTGAATCTTATTAACTCCCATGTAGAAGGGCGTGAGGAGAGCTGCTTTGAAGGAGGGGATACTTCGCATTTCAGTTGAAACCCATGAAACCTATTGAGTTTTTTAGTCTATTAGACACCTTGGAGATGCTATGTCCATGGTTAGATCAGAGTGTGGAGCTGAGGAACAAGTCATAGTCTAGAGCTATAAATATCAGAGTTCTTGAAACAGAAGTCAAATTCATAGTTCCAAGGTGGATTACCCAGGGAACATGCATGGAAGAGAAGGGGCCACTACAGTGTCCAGAGGTGGGAGAGAAAGGGGAGAAAATAGAAGAACAGGGTAGAAAAGAGCCACTGTGACAGGGGAAAAACAGCAAGGCATCTGGGAACACGTGCAGCTTGGTATAGAGGAGGGAGTGAGTAGCTGTCAGGTGCTGCTGAAAGGAAGGACAAGGTGCAACTGACTCTGGCGATCTTGGATATGGTTGCAGTGGGGCCAAGGAGGAAGAGACCAGGCTACACGGGGTTAGCGCATAAATAGGTGAAATTAAGTGCCAATCCACCCTCTGAACTCCCTCATCCTCCCTGCCTGAGCTGCTCCAAAGGTTTCTGAAACATGGACATAACACACCAGCCACCAATCACTGATATTTACTTACTAAGCAACGTTTTACTAATTACATATTAATACAATGTATTAATTACTATATAATTATGGTCCTTCGCCCCACAGATAGGTATTTTTGAAACAGGGCCTCTGCATTCCATAAGGCCTGTTGCTCCTACTTCACAGATGGATATAATAGTTTACTTCATGAGAAAAGAGGAACAGAAAAAAGGAACACAAGAAAAGGAAAATAAAGTTATTGAACATCTTGGTCCTGTGCAGGCATAATGACACTGCAACCACTGCACTATACCTGAATGAATGAGGGTGGGTTTTAGGAGGCTTGGATATGATGGGAGCCATGAGGCTGACAGTGACCCCTTTTCGCCCACATGGTTTGTCATAGAAGGAAGTGGTGGTGGCTTCCTCAACAGCAGGGACATACTCCTCCTTCTCTTAGCCGACATGAGACTGGGCTCTCCAGGACGTTTCAGCTTGTTTTGTGGTCCTGCTACAAATTCATCTGCTTCATCAATCATCATTCCCTGCAAAACATCCATGAACATATCCCATTAAAGACAAAAACTCAACTCTCAGGAAATATCCATCCTCATGAGCATAAATTATCAATCATTCATGAATTACATCATTTATCTAAGTCAGTCAAAGGCCAAAGACTTACCAGTACTATTCTCAGAAAACGCAACTCATTTTAATCCTATCTATGTAGAACAAGGAGGAAACTAACACACCCCGCAAATATGCGCAATATGCGCAAAGCGAAGCATATTACAGTAACAATTGGGAAAGCCTACAGAATGAGCAGCTCTTATCAACTACAATGGAATAAACTCACAGTTACCATTTTGGAGACATGTCAGCCATTTTGAAATAAGATGTCAGCTGGGGAATTATGGTACATTCTCCTTCTGGTGCTTTTGTGCTTTAAACCCATCATTAAAAAACATACCATAGTGATGCATGCATATCCATGTTTACAGTAGTGTAACTCTCAACAGCTAAGCTCCAGAAACAGCCTAATGATTGTGAACAGATAAAAGGATCAAGGAAACTTGGTACACATACACAGTGGACTGTTGGCCCAGAGAGGAACGAAATGGTATTATTTTTAGGGAAGTGGATGGACTCAACACTAACCTATGAGGGCTGGCCAAATAGCTCAGAGGATTAAAGCACCTGCAAGAAGGCTCAGGGACTGGGGGTTCGACCCCTGGTCCTGCCATGCCAGCCCTATCCCTGGGGTACACTGAGACAGCAATTGAGACTGGGCATGGTGGCATGCGCCTGTAATCCCAGCTCTTGGGAGGCTGTAAACAGGTGGATCACTATGAGTCTGATCTAGTAGTGAGACCCTGAACACCCTGCAGACCCTTCCCTAAATACAAAAGAGAAAAAGACTAACCTATAGAGCAAAATAAGTCAGACTCAGAAAGTTAAGTAAAAAAAGTTACCTATCACATGTACTCCACTATATGAGACATCTAAAATATAAATAAATGAGTGAGTGAATTAACACAGACGTGAGAGGCCACTAGAGTGTAGGTTCTTGGAGACAGGGAAGGGGGTTGGTCAGGGGAAGGGGAGGAGAGGGGCTAAAGGGATTGAAAGTGAGCAAGACAGGTTATAGGCACACACCAACTTCCCCAAACAGATCACTGTTGTGTATGATAAACATGCACTAAAAAAGAAATATTAATACCGTACAGAATGCTACCTGTAAGTGGAAAAGGTTCCCCCACACTCAAATGTGGGTTTCAATATGTCCACCTGGGTGCTGGGCAAGCAATGAGGAACTTTCACTCTTTCGGGTACATAAAAGCTGGTAGAGAGCAGCAAGGAAGGCTGGCTGAGAGCCGCTCCCCTCCAAGGATAACCCGAGTATGTGCTCTGTTTTGTATGAACAAAATCATGATACATGGCCTTTCCAAAGGATTTCTCCTCCAGGAACCATCCAGAAATGGGGAAACATTTTCCCTGTGCATGTGCTACATGCCCAGCAATGTTATAAGTAGTGTTACATGTGACTAACTTGCTTGATATTCCACAGAACTCAGTCAATTGGTGTAACTATTATCCCTGGGGCTAGATACAAAAAAACTAAGACAAAGATTTTTATTTTTTTTATCGCTATGTGTCTGAGATACACATTAATTACATTTGTTTTGGGAAGTGGCATGTAACACATCTTGTTCATTTCTGGACCAATTCCCTACATCTCCTTTCTCATTTCCAAAAAGCCTGTGTTATTTTTTCCTACCATCAAGGCACAGAAAGATTAAAAAATTCCAACTAATTGAGGAGTAGAATGAGGTAGAATACCTCTGAGCCCAGTTTTATTACAAAAAGATTTCTGTTTGGTCTAGGCCTTAGTAGCCATGGTCCTCTCCATCTGCACATATAATCCCATTTTTTCATGCTTAAATGGTAAACTCTATATATCTTACAGATACACAGAGGCACATACACGTATTTCATTTATTTAGATACCTGGTTGTATAGTTTATTTTTTAACTTTTTTTTTCTGTATTTAGGGCAGGGTCTACAGGGTCTCACTATGTAGACCAGACTCATAGTTATCCTCCTGTTTTCAACCTCCCAAGCGCTGGGATTACAGGCACATGCCACCACACCCAGTCTCAATCGCCGTTTCAGTGCACCCCATGGGCAGGGCCAGCACAGCATGCCAGGGATCAAACCCCAGCCACTGCACTTTGCCTAAGCAGGCACTTTAATCTGCTGAGCTATCAGGCCAGCCCTCTGGCTGTATAATTTAGATAAAGTGAAATCACTAAGCACTTCATATTTCAAGGGGTACAGTCATCACTGTCTAGAATAGGGCATGTTCAACCTATGGCCCTGAGGCCACTTATTCCCCTTTTTGGCAGGGGACAATAGGGTCTCCTGTGTAGTTCAGGCTGGTCTTGAACTGACTATGTAACCCAGGCTAGCTTTGAACTCATGATGATCCTCCTGCCTCAGCTTCTCAAGTGCTGGGATTATAGGTGTGTGCTATCATGCCAGGCCATCTGTCTACTTTAAAAAAAGTTATAATAACAAACATAAAAAAGAAAGGAAGTTTTTTATGTATTTAGTACACCATCTACAGAGTCTCACTATACAGATCAGATTCAGTGATTCTCCTGTTTTCAGCTTCCCAAGCGCTGAGATTACAGGCGAGTGCCACCATGCCCAGTCTCAATCCACCATGCCTAGTCTCAATCAAGGTCTCAGTGCACCCTGGGGGTGGGACCAGCATGGCAGGCTGGGGATTGAACCTGGTCCCTGCGTCTGCCTAGGCAGGTGCTTTAATCTGCTGAGCTGTCTGGTCGGCCTGAAAGGAAGTTTTGTGATTTATATACATTAACTTCCCTCAGTGAAGCCCAAGTAAGCCAAAATGCTGGACACACCTAGTAGAACACTACAGATCTAAATCATGGAAATAAGAGGAAATACTTGGTAATCACAATATTAAATGCAATAGTGTGTGGTTGGGGCAGTGCATAGACTTTGAAGCCAGAAAGACGTGGGTTCAAGTCCTGGCTCTTAAAAGTTCCATCACAGTGTTTTGATGCTTCACCACTGTAAGCTTTGATTTCTTCTTGCTAAATGGCAGATGATGCCATTGATCTTGAAAAATGGTTATGAATGTTAAAATGTAATCACTTGAAATACCAACCCCTACAAGGTACTCAACAAATGAGCTATTAATTTTAAGCAACACACTTTTTGCATCAAGAGACTTCCACATTCCATCCGCAAAGAGCCCTGGTGTCATATTTTAGCTCTGAGTTGTACTCATCTTGCTAAAGAGAATTAGAGCCAACAATTTTATAATTCAGACAGAGACAGAAGTAGGTACCTTTTTATCTTGTTTAAATGGATTGCCAAATGTATGCAGTCTTTTGGGTTGATCTGGATCAATCTCTCGAAGTGGAGAAGCCAAGGTCTTCAGATATTCCTGATAGTTACCCATTTGGGCAACTGGAACACTATGAAGGAAATCTGCCCAATCACATCAAAGAAATTGGTGTTATATGGCTGAAATGCATGCTCCTTTTGAGAAGATCAGATCACTGTCTGTTTCAGCAGTATATGTCTCAGCATCAAAGTCTAAAATCTCAAGTCTGGCATTCTAAAATCTAGAATCATCTTTCTTCAGTCATTACTTAGTCTACTGTTACTCCTGCCTTAGGACTCCTGTTACAAGGGCTAGAACAGCTCCTTTCCCTTCCAGATGGCTCTGACAATGGGCTGGCCTCCCTTGTATCCTCACCCCACCTCAAAACACTGCTCTGCTATATTTCAAAGACCCCAGGCTTCTTGGCATTCTCTCATCATGCAGGAAATCCTCAATAGTAGGTCTTAAAATCTGAGGAGTTCATTAAATATTGGGCCTCTCTTTCTAGAAAACCCCCCTATACACAAAAATGTATAATTTCAAATGAACTTAGATTTTCTCATTTTATCTGATAGCTCACCCCATCAAAAACTAATGGAATAAAGGGAAATTACAGTCACAATTCTGGCCACTATTCAATTCATTATTTTCATATAAATGAGATATACTTTTTTTTTTTTTTGGCTAGCTCAGGCTGCCTTAAGGGTGGGTCTGGTAAGGCACGTAGAGCTCGGGATCAAACTGCAGTACCCTGGCTCCTGACTGGTTTTGCCCAAGCAGGTGTTGAAACAACTGAGCTAACTTGCAAGCGCTCTAAATGAGCTATTCTTGACTACATTCATCCCAGTGTGCTGGGAGGTACAGTTTTGGGATACCTGATCTAGGTACTGTCACTTTCCAATGAGGGAAACCCCCACGAACCCCTAATAAGCTTGCTCTGGGTCTCAAGGCCCATTTAAGTGACATTATCTACCTCCAGGTGCTGGTTGGGGCATATAAGAACTAAAGCAAGGAAGCATGGAGAGTGTGGCGTGTATGCTAATTAATGCATACTTGCCTTTAAACTTAGAAAAATAAACTGTGCCCAAGGGGATGTAGGGATTCACTGAAAACAAGCATTTTACTCATTAAAGAATTAGGAAGTAACCTGCTCATTATGCGATAAACACTATCACCTAAGGCACACCAGGCATTTTCTTAATGAAAAGAACCCATTTGTTTATTTACCTTCATCTTGTCCAACAATAAACTTGTGGGTTTTCAGTAGATTGGATCTCATTCTGGTCAATTGATCCAGAAGACCTCTGCGTGGAATATCATAAGCATTTCTGTACGTCTGAGGTTTCAAATTCTTTTTCAAACAGGAAAATTTCAGTTACTCCTGAGGCTTCTAGTATAGAAATGTATTACTTAGCCCTTTTTAAATCTTACTGAAGAGTTATATTTAATATAACTAACTAGAGTAGAATTTTCCCATTGGAAAATTTCTCATTTTTAACACACCTAAATGTATTAAAGACTTCTAATACTATCCCTATTTCAAGTATGTCACTTAAAACTGCAAATCTGCAGATTTACACCTTGGTGGCCCTGCTTGTGATTTGGATTGCTTCCCTAGGCAGCCACGGAAGTGGACTGCTGTCATCTGCCTGGAACACCACAGTGGCTGATCCTGAGGCAGTGCACTTGGCTGAGTGCCCCTGCAGTGCCGTAGGGGTGCCCTGTTTCATCAGGGTGCCTGCCACTAGGGACTGAGAATGGCAGCGTGTTGGCACGTGGCTAGCCGCCCATGAGAACCTCCTCCAGGTGAAAGCATCCGTCAGAGGTGGGCCGCCACTGCCGAATTTCTCCAGGCTGCACTGGTGTCTCAGATGCTCCTTCCCCATCCTCCTTTTACCTTCTCTTTTTCCATCAGCACTTGGCCTGGAGGCTGTCCCCACCTACTACAAATCACACTGTCCTTTACCTTTCATGGGTTTTACCAACTCACCAAACCTATCTTAAACATTTAATTCCATGTTGGGATCTACTGGCAGGACAATTCCCAAACTGCTCCAGAATAACTACTAATGCCAACATACAATTGTCACTGTCTCAAAACTAAAGCAATAGGAGTAACAGAAGTGTATTAGACAAGTTCAGGCAAATAAAAGTGTTTTATGCCACAATTTACCTTGTTTAAGAGCCCAACTTGGAAGCCAGCAAATTCTTTGGTATTTAATTCTGTCAATCTCAGTGCAGTTTCCCCTGTGATTTCTTTCAAAAGTTTTCTAAAATTTTTATTGTAAGCCAAGGACATGTTGCCTCCAGAATGATTTTTCACTTTGATACCAATTTCCTGGGGAGGTTTCTTCCCCACTGATGCTAATATTCTTTCTGACTCTAGTTTGGTCTAAAATGAAAGTACATAGTATGTTATGAAAACATCTACCATATTGCTTTGTCTTTATTACTTAAGAAAGATAATAATTTAAGAACCCCACAGAACAATTTTCAATTGCAAATTACAGAGAAATAAATAAGTAAACAACTTTCTGTGCTTCTCTGTACTAGCATAGCAAACAGAGGGGGCTGGAAAGACAAATAATACATTTTTTTCTCTTGTCTACTGTCAAAACTGGACTGAATCATGGGGAATGGAAACCATGCATAAGAACTGCATTCCTAGACATTTAAAAGCACATCGTGAAAAAAAAATAAAAGCACGTGTTACTGAAAAATCTAGTCTAAATCAACATACTCATTTCAGACTAGACATAAAGGTTTAAGACTGTACTTATATATGAAAATCAGAGCCAAAATTCAGATTAGGTAGGCTAGCATTATACCTGGAAAAATTAAACTTTACTTCTAAATTGGGCTATACAAAAATGTCTTATAAGGTAATGTTTAATTGAACAAATGTTACCAAGTACAATTTCTAATGTGTACTCAATAAGCTTCTCACAATGAAAAAACCCTCGTAGTAGACATTGTTACACTGTATTGATTAATTTTGCTTGAGAATGTATTACAGCAATATATTTGGCATATTTTATGTTTTATATACAAGGAGATAGTTCCAAGAACACTGGTAACATAGCTATTAAGTTAGTAATTAGAAATACTATAAATTAGTAATGATCTTCTCTTTCTCTCTATAAGAGGAAGTTCTACCAATGTCTAGTAAGCCCAAAGTAATTTGGATTTTCTTGTGGTTTAGGCAGAGATATTGATTTTATGTTCCCTAATTCTTGGAATTAAGTACATGTTTATTAGCTCTAAAAATTTCCTAAGTTATGAAATATAAGAGCAAATGAGAAGTCTGTTTTTCTAAATGAGTTAGAACTCATTTATAAAACTATACAAGCAATGTGCCCCAGAAGGTCCCAGAACTTGCATTAGTTTCAATTCTCTTCGCTATTACTCTTGCTGACACAGCCTTAAAGGCTTAACTATCAAATAAAAAACAAAATCTATAGATCAATACATAAATAAATAACATAAAGAACCAAACCAAAACATTTACAGCAACAACAAAAAATCTATTAGCGGAAACAAATAGGAGTTAGAGGGACACTTGGTAGATTAGAAATCTGGGTTTGCTTTTACTTTTCTTTTGCATTTATGAGCACGCTGAACTGGTCAGAGCTGGTAAGCTCCAGACTGTCTTTAAGATAGTGCCAGTTCCTAGCTAGGCGTGTCAGCATCCCAGTGGAATCCCTTTGGCTCTTTAGTGAGTCTGGCACTCGTGCTTAGTACCATCACTTTTCCAAAGGCCAAATTTCCAAACATATTCAGCTTGAAGCATCATAGGCACTGCGAATGCTTCCATGGCTCCCTACCTTGGAATATGTTTGTGCCCAAGACAGTAAAACTGCTGCACTGATTTGTTGCACAACACAATTGTATGGCAGTAGAGCTCTAACTCAACAGTTCCCAAACATTTTCCATCCTACAAGAATGGGCTAGGTAGAGGTGAGAAGTATGATAAGGAGGGGTGAGTGGAGGATGAGGTACTCATAGAGAGGGGCAGGCAAGGGACAAGGTGAATAATGGTAAATGAGGTGGGGTATAAAGGAACAGATGGGGGACAAGAAGAGAGGAGGCTGAACTCCACTCTCCAGGTCCGCTTGGGGCCTCTCGCCCTTGAGATTAACAAACACAGGTCTCATGTCCCCCCTCTCCAGGAAAAAGCAGATGGCTATATCGAGGCCTCATATGTGAGTGTAAGGCTTTCTATGTGGTGCCTGAAAACAGATTTGAGGCAAGTCATTTACTCTCAACAGGCCTCTGTGTGCTGACCTACAAAAGGGGGATGCTCTGGGCCAAAGCAATTTGAGGAGAATCTAGGTTGAGGATAGACAAAACGTGACCCAGAAGAGAATTCTATTAGGTTTCTGCCCCTCTTAGGCCACACAACATCAGCCAGCTTGCGGGCAGGGCAAACTGGCAGTCAGAAGGAGAAATGGCACAGCATCGAATGATACTGACAGACCCTTAGCTGGAGTTTAATGGTGAAGCTAGAAGCCACAGAGAATCACATTCCTACTAATCCATAAAGTGTAGAGATATATACACATTTAATTTGAAAAAATTACAATTACACTAGAGAATAAGGAAATGCACTTCTGAGGGCAAAGGATTTTTGTTCGTTTGTTTTTACCAATACTACCTGTTGGCTGAGTTTTTTAAGGTAAGAGATAACACTGTAACTAAGTCCACAATCTAAATTATCTGATATCAGATTTGGAGCTCCCATCATCCTTAGTGCTTTCTTTAATGGCTATAAGGAAACAAAATACACAACAGTAAGAATAGAATAAATCTTAAAATACTCAAAGTTCAGTTATTAGGGGCAAGGGGATATGATTCATTTCTTAGAAGGCAAGGTGCTGCACATAAAACCAAACATGGAACATTAAAAAGTGGCAATGAAAATAGCAGAGAAGTAAGAAGCAGAAAGTAAAAAATCAGGAGAGAGTGGGATAAGGAGAGCAAGTAACAGCAAATTCATCAAGTAAATTGCGTTCAGTCTTAATTCCCAAGTCACAAAATCATTTCACATTGCATTGGATTGCGTATCCCGTTTCTGCCATGGTCAATACCAACACACCCCAATTTCTCTGCCCATTTAGACCAGCGGTCCAGTCCCGCTGAAGATTCCGATTTTCACCTCTAGAAACTCAGCTTCCCCCAGACAAGGCTGTGATGCTTTACAGTGCTTGCATTTCATAATGGATCTGGGACACATTGAACAAGCCATAAACACCTATGTCTCCAAATTTCGTTTTCAGAGGGAAATGCCATATTAAGAATTTCTAGAGTTCCAAAGGGGAGTTGGCGTGATACATAATTGAGACCTATTTATTCTTACATTCTAAAATTACGATTTCATAGGGTTAGTTTTAATAAGAGAAACGTAGATGTGTTTAATAAAAGTAACCATGGCAATGAAAAGAAACAAAATACAGAAAACAGTGCTCTTTTGTGCCATCATGACATCTCGAAACGCTTACACACAGTTTGAGAAGACAGTAATGACACAAATCTGTGTAAGATAACGAGATGACTATCTTATTGCAGGAACAAAGCTTTTGATTCATTATTTTTCAGGACAAGAATCAGCAGTGATACACACACACACACACACACACACACACACATATACATATAAATACCTACTAATAAATAGTATGGAGGCAGAGTTTTTAAGTAGCTGTCAAAAGCCTGTCGCCACTTCAGATTTGGCTTAAGCTTGTGAACTTTAAACAAGTCATCTGTAACGGAAAAACCAAATGATACATTATTCAGGTCTTCAATTTTAAGTAACTCACAGCTAGAAATCTCAGATTTTAATAAAAGTAGATAAATAAGCATTTCTTGGAAGTTTCATTGTCTTTTTCTGGTGGTTGAATCTACCAAAATTATATACCTTGGTCTCTGATTTGCAGCACTTTGACTTTTGATTTTTCAGCTTATGATAGTGAGGAAGTCATGTTCAGTAGAAACCAAACTTCAGACTCAGAGTTCGGAACTTCGCTCAGTGTAGCAATATGCAGCGTGACCCTAGGTAGCGGCAGCGAGTGGCAGCCAGGCAGTGATGAAGGGAAGCGACCAACGCAGCGTCTGCAGTGCACTGGGTTGCTAAGCTGGGATGATCACACAGCTGGGGCATGAAACGCATTTTCAACTTACAGTGGGTTTACCAGGCTTACCCCCAGTATAAGCCAACGCGCGTCTATGTGTTTTTCTAAAAAAAATCCAACAGGCCAGGCGTGATGGCACATGCCTGTAATCCCAGCACTTGGGAGGCAGAGGCATGAGCACTGCTGTGAGTTTGAGGCCAGCCTGAACTGCATAGTGAAATCTAGTCTCAGAAAGACAAGAAGGAAGGAAGGAAGGAAGGAAGGAAGGAAGGAAGGAAGGAAGGAAGGAAGGAAGGAAGGAAGGAAGGGAGGAAGGAAGGGAAACTCTCACGTTATATATTCCTCTTCCATCTATAAAGCTATATAAAGTATAATACAAAAAGACTGACTCACTTGAAATCTTTTCCTGACTTGTTATATTGCTAAATTTACTGTAGTAATTTTCACCCTCAGGCAAATTCAGAGTCATTGGTTCAGAATGGAATAATATTTCTTTCACTTAAACATACAGGATGTTAATTTTTGTGCTGAAAGATCAAGGTAAGGCGACTTTATATGAGAACACATGGTAAGCCTCTAATTGCTAGGCAATGCTGGGCAAGCTGCACATTTTGGATTCTGCATAACTAACTGCCTCACCCTTTGTGTAGCCATGTCATCCTCCTCCTTTATTTCTGTATTACAGGTTTTTTTTGGGGGGTGTACAGTACTGAGGATGGAACCCAAGGTCTTCAAAGTGAGGTACATGTCCAACCCTTTGTTTTATTTTGAGAGAGGATATTGCTAAGACACGAAGTTGTCCCAGCTGGACTTGAATTTGAGATCCTCCTATTTCTCCCTCCCAGAGTACTAGGATTACAGGCACACACCACACCCAGCTTGTATTTTGATCCCAACTTTGTGTCACTCAAATGTAAACTGTTAGTTATTGGATGATTGTAATAGCATGCACAGATGGGTTCTTTAAAATTAAGTACATCTAAACACTTGATTTTTTAAAAAATATAATAAATGATATTTAATGACATCAACATAGGTACATGTTTAATATGATGGAGAAATAAAAAGTGTAACAAAATTAACTGTGTATATAGATGAATTGTGAAGATAAGTAATAATTCTTAACTTTTTAAGGTAGAAAAAATTTTTCTAATTTCTATGCCATATTTTTTCCTTTTTAATTTAATTTTATTTTGAAGAGTAAAAACAAAAGCAAAAACAGCAGAAACAAGGACAGAAACAGGGTAACATACAACAATACATATGTTACAGGTTTTCAAAACAAGAACAGCTAATTAGCAATGCTTGTTATATTATCAAATCTGTTGCTCAGATTAACAGGTAATAGTTACACACTATTGGACAAATATTTGAATATGACTTTGCTTTCAAGAAACCTTAATTTCTTTCTTGCCTTTATAAAAATTTATTTTAAAGAAAGTATAATAATAATTGATAAGACATTAGAAATGCTATACATTTAGAAGGCCAAGATGAAAGGTATTCAAGCATGGTTTTTCTATTACGCATTGCTGTCCTCAATGTAGTTGCTTAGATTACAGATATCAGCATACAGAGATAGGAAAGAAAGAAGTGGAGAAAAAAATGCAAGTATATATACAGGATGGCTGAGAGGATTGTACTAATAATTTCACCTTCACTAAACACTCGATTACCATGTCCATCTACAGAACTAAAGATATTTACCTTAAATATGCAGACATTCTTTATCCTTTCAGACTTAAATTTAATTATTTTAATACTTTACATGCATTATATATACTGTATAAATATTTCCCAAACATCTTTTTTTTCTTCCAAGTGCAAGAAAATGCTTCTAATATAATGCAAAATTTATAACAGACATCAACATGAACCTTCCATACCATAAATACCAAAGATAGTATAAATTGAGCCTTTATTTTGTTTCCTCGTTTTATTATTTTTTAAATCAAGTGCTTTACTTCTAGAGATAAAACCATGCACAATTTCTCTAGAAATAGGCATTCTTGGAAATTCTGAATTACTTTAGTTAAGAGACGCAATTATACATTTTCTCCCTTTTACTGCTATTATACATTATTCACTCCTGCTGAAAAGAATTTAAATGAATTTACAGAGCCATAAAATATAGGTCTTTTGTTCTTTTGGTATGGGCTAGAAAGAACAAAGAAAATAAAGATCCAAAGAGATTTCTGATTCATTGCAGCATGTGGGTCCTTTACAAACCATTCATATCCTAACAGAAAGAAATGGGACACCATAGAAATAGCCCATTATACTTTGTCTTTATGTGGAGTCTGCTGGGAATTAGGATTTTGAAAACTGACAAATATAAGTACAGGAGAGGTTCTTAGATATAAATAGATTAGCTAATCAGACTCAGTAATACTCTTAGTATTCTAACAGTGACAAGTGCAGTGATTCTGCCCAGGAGCTGCTTTAGTCTATTTATTTCTTGGCAGATTGTCTGGAATGAGGGTCAGAGGAAAGAATAAAATATATCATATTCTAGGTGGATAGTAGAGAGCTCTTAGGATGATACTGTTACAACCTCTGTAGCTCAGAAAAAGATTTTCATAACATTAGATGTCCATTCACACAAGTTTCTAGGACAGTAGAGTGAAGAGGTCCTAAACAATTAACTGATCCACATTTGAAAGAAGATGCCATGAGAGTTTAAGAGTAAAATGACATTTCTTTTTTTATAGTAGCCAAGTATTTGTATTTTTTTAATTTTAAAGATAAAACCCACAAAATTTCAAAACAAGGTAATAAGAGGGTAGCAATCGTTAATATACTGCATATTGTTATCTTCAAATTGGCTACTCAGAGTACAAGACATTGCCATTTAATTGTCTCAATAATATTAGCACGGATCTTTTTCTTTTTTCATGTATTTGGTTGTTTCAGGGTCTCACTGCACAGCTCAGACTTGTGGTGAGTGATCGTCCTGCTTTCAGCCTTCCCAGCGCTGGGATTACAGGCATGTGCCACCACACCCAGACTCTGTCTGGCTCAGCCTGCCCTGGGGGTGGGACTGGCATGGCATGTGGTGTCGGGATCGACCTATGATCCCTGCACTTGCCTAAGCTTGCCTAAGCAGTTGCTTTAGTCCGCTGAGCTATCTCACCAGCCCCCTTTCTTTTCAATGAACTAAGAGAAATTAGTAATACAACTATCCTAACTATTCTATCATCTATCTATCTATCTATCTATCTATCTATCTATCTATCATCTATCTATCTATCTATCTATCTATCTATCTATCTATCTATCTATCTTATCTTGCTTTTCCTTTCTTTCTTTACTTCACTCTAGGAAAGAAACCCCAGTTGTTTCTTTCCTCTGGAAGTTTCTTCCCATAAAAACATACTACTAACCCCTCAAAAAACTACTGACATTTTGTCTTTAAGTTTGTTTCTCTTCATTTCTCTCCTCAAAGAGAGAGCAGGACCCACACTGGAGTCCAAGCTCAGCAAGTCCCTTGGCTGAGAGCGCTCGGATAGATCACTTTCCCTTTCTGAGTCTCCATGTCATCTGTAAAATGGGATAAAGTTTTGAGGAGCTACGTCACACAGGAACTGAACAAACAGGCCAGTGGGAGCTGTTAACTCGCATAATGATTTATACCCATCAACTTATCCTCCTTATAACTGTCCTACTAACCTATTTGGAAACTATCTCATTGCTACTTCTTTCTCAATAAAATTATTTTAAAAAATAAATAAAAAATAAAATAGACCAAAAAATCATCCCCCTTCTAGGCTCCCTTCAGACACATCTTTTCTTCCTCCTGACCATGACTATCTTAATACGGAACTGGACTTTACTTTTTACACAAGTCCCTAGTTCTTAATTTAAAAAAATGTGAATTAAATGTGGCATATTCAGAACATGAAAAGTTTTTAGAGTCACCTTAATTTCTATGATTAGCCTTCAATGGAAAAAATAATTTCCTAATTGAGAGAGTATAATTTTCATCTGGAAGACTAGTGACTTCCCTGCTGACATAATTTTTCTGGTAATTCATTGAAGTCTCACTTATGTATTCTATATGTGTGGATGTCATATTTGTGGATTCAACCAAGTTTGGATTAAAAAAAATTTTAGAAAGACATTTGTCCATACTGAATATTCATATTTTTCTTTAGGACCTGCCTCACCTCATGGTTTTTTTAATATTTAATATTTAGTGCAGGGTCTACAGGCTATCACTGCACAGATTGGACTTGCAGTGATTCTCCTGTTTTCAGCTTCCCAAGTGCTGGGATTACAGGTACAAGCTACCATGCCTAGTCTCAGTCGCCCTCAGCGCACCCCGGGGGCAGAGCCAGCACAGCAGACCAGGGATCGAACCTGGTCCTTGCAGCTGCCTAAGCAGGTGCATATGCAGCTGAGCTATCTAGCCGGCCCTTCAGGTAAATTTTGTCTTACAAATTTTTTGTGACAAAGAGAAATGTAATACAGAATAGTGATATTGGTTTGGCAGAATTGGTACATGCATCTAATATTGTTTTCAGGTAAGTCTAAGAGCTTAAACAATTAAGATTGTTAGTAGTGATGAAAATATTACATTAATAAAGAGGAAATAGGGAACAGCATTATGGACGAGTGCTATACTATCCAGA